AGACTATGCTGAAATTTTTGCTCCCGTAGTAAAATTCACAACAATTAGGATGATGCTTGCCCTAGTTGCCCATAATGACTGGGAGATGAAGCAGATGGATGTTACCACTGCTTTCCTTCATGGTGAACTAGATAAACAGATTTTCATGAGCCAACTTGAGGGTTTTATTGACCCTAAGTACCCCAGACATGTCTGTCTACTTAGGAAGGCCCTCTATGGCCTGAAACAGTCTCCCAGACAATGGAATATCAAGTTTGACCAGTGTATGTCTTCCCTGAGTTTCAAAAGGTCTGATTCTGACCCTTGTTTGTATTTTAAGAATACTGCTGCTGTACCTGTTTTCTTGTTAATCTATGTTGATGACATGCTTATCATTAGCCCCTCTGTGAATGCTATTAAGATAGTTCAAAAGTGCCTTTGTGAAAACTTTGCTATGAAAGATCTTGGAGATGCTAAGAGAATCCTAGGGATTAATATTCTTAGGGATAGGAGTAGGTGTACCCTTACCCTGAACCAAACCTCCTATCTTGAAAAGGTCTTGAAAAAGTTTAAAATTGACTCTGCCCAACCTGTGAATGTTCCCTTAGCACCCCACTTTGTGCTAAGCAAGGATCAGTCCCCAAGGACTGCTCCTGAGATAGATAGGATGAAGGCTGTACCCTATTCCAGTGCTATAGGGTCAGTCATGTATCTCATGGTAAGCACAAGGCCTGATATAGCCTATGCTGTTAGTTGCTTAAGTAGATATATGGCAAACCCTGGTATGTCTCACTGGACTGCCCTTAAATGGCTCCTTAGATACCTTAGGGGTACACCTTCTCATGGTCTTGTTTTTTCTAAAACTGAAACTGGCATTTTACTTACTGGTTATGTTGACTCCAATTATGCAAATGATAGGGACAATAGAAAGTCTACTACTTCCTACATTTTTACTCTTTGTGGTTCCTGCATAAGTTGGAAATCTCAACTTCAACCCATTGTTGCATTGTCCACTACTGAATCTGAATATGTGGCAGCCACTGAGGCCTTTAAAGAGGCTATTTGGCTTAAACGAATGCTAACTGAAATTGGTTTTCTTAAGCAGGTTGTGACAGTGTACTCTGATAGCCAGTCTGCTATCCAATTATGCAAGAATCCTGTATTTCATGACAGGACCAAGCATATTGATGTCAAGTTTCATTTTATTAGGAATATTGTGGATGCAGGTTGGATAAAGCTGTCCAAGATACCTTCAGAATTTAACCCTGCAGATATGGGGACTAAATGTCTCACTTTTGAAAAACTGTTGTCTTGTAAGCGTATTCTTAATTTAGATTGTGGCTAGATAAGAACTGTAAAACAAGAAAAACCGGCGATGATGATTCTCCCTTTCACGTTGTGCTCTACACCACCAGGGGGACCAATAAGGTGGAGATTGTTGTGGTATTGGTCCACCTCATCTATGGGCCATCCCTGAGCTGCCTTTTGGTCCACCTCATTTATGGAGTTGGTCTCCTATTAATTGTCCTGGCCCAATTGGGCTGTCTACCCGACCAAGCCCATCCCCCCGTTTTGTCTTATAACTCAGCCCATCCCTTTGTGGCCCTCCCTTATATTGGCTGGTTCTTCTGGAATCCTCCTATTTCTGCCTCTCCGCCTTCTCTCTAAAATGGTACTTCAGTTCGGTTACCCTAGACCTAGAGTGAGAGAGTGCCGGTTTCCTCTGAGCTTTAGCTCCGGCTTTGCTCCGGTGAGACCTTTGGAATCCTTCTGTGGGCTTCACTCTGGTCTGGTAGTGTGGTGGGTTATCTGTAGCTCCGGTGGGTTCTCTGGGCTGGGGTCTGGGTTCTTTGTGTGAGGGCTTGTTGGTTGTCGCCCTTCTGTCTTCCCCGATTGTATCCCTGGTGGTGAGTGTGAGCAAGCCTTTGGGCTTGGTGGTGATTGAGGTCTGAGCCGGTCCGGTTTTACAACACTTTCAATGTAAAAGCGACTCCGATTTTATAAACTGGTTTATATAAATAAATATTTTCTAATTTCTTGTGGCGCTTCACTAAGCTAGTAAGAGCCTCTTAACTGGTGCATCAGGCGAGGCATGCGACGCTTCTCACATATAGCGCCTCCGATGGAATAAGGATATTCCTAACCACGGCTATGAAGAGTGGAATTAATTGGATCAGAGCTGAAAACAACCACCCAATAGAGGGGTTACCCTAATCTTCGGTCACTAATGCATTGCAATTCCGATCCCCACCGTCCGATTCCGATTTACGCCATCGTTATGTTCGATCCGACCTCTCACTACTGCCTTTTCCCTTGGCCCATTGCTACCCGCTTGTTTGGCCGCATGACCACTTCAGTGAGCTTCCTCGCCAATGTGACTAGTAATAGTAAATTAACTAATTAAAAGTAGGGTTCAAATTTGAAAGTAAGGATCTTGAGTGTCTTTAATTATAAATAAATATGGGAAGTTTTCACCAATTGAATGATAGTATATATTAATTCTCATAAACAAGAAATTAATTTTTATTTCCATAACATGTCCTATTTGTAGGCTTAGTTAGGGTGTGTGAGATGTGAGTTAAATTAATTTCAAACTCATAGACAAGAAAGAATAATTTATGGGTGGACATAAAAACCGATCTGAATCCATACCGACCCGACCTGTAATGGTACCGAACCCAAAATCGGGTATTAAACCGGTTCTATAGATTTTATCTTGAACCAAAACCGTATCGTTTGAAACGGGTACAAGACACATTCTAGATTTTGAGAACCGGAAAATACCGAACCGAACTGTTCAAATACAATACATTTGATATTTCAATTTTTTCTTATTTCAATAAATCTATTGTTCAATTAAACAAATTTATAGCCCAAAAATAGTTAAATATGTGTGTTTGTATAAATTCTTTTCTCCATTCCTTTTAGATCATTTATGTTATATTTCGAATGGATCGAAAGAATATTAAAGCTTTAAAAATCAATAATAACTATTAACTTCTACTATTGCAGTGTAAATGACTATTTATGTATCAATCAATAATTACTTTGTATATAACGTCAATAGATTTCTTATTTCAATAAATATATTGTTCCATTAAACAATTTTATGTATCAAAAATAGTTAAATATGTGTGTTTGTATAAATTCTTTTCTCCATTCCTTTTAGATAATTTATATTATATTTGGTATAGATCAAAAGAATATTAAAGCATTAAAAATCAATAATAACTATTAACTTCTACTATTGCACTGTAAACGACTATTTGTCTCCTTCCCTAGTCGTGCCCATGTCTGGAACAACCGTAGCAACAAACCAGCTTTGTCTCCCTGCGCCCACTCCGGATCTGAAATCACTCTGCTGCTTCAGCCTCATCCCTGTGCCAGAGGTTCCCTCTAAGTTCTTTCCCCTATAGGACTAGTCTTCCCCCTCAACTTGCTCTAAGTTCCACCCCATAAGATTTTTCCAACACCGTATTATTCTCCTCATATGTCAAAGGGAAAAATCTATCAGCATGGCCAATGACCCCACAAACAAAACAAAAGCGATGCAGCTTTTCATATTTGAAATCCACCCAGTGGCCAACACCCCCTTTCCTAAGAGTTGTTCCCCTTTTCAAAGGTTTTCCTACTTCCATAGAAACCCTAATACGCATATAAGCATCCCAGCTTTCGTCAAACTTTCATCAAAGCTAATGAACTTTCCAATAAAATTATCAACCCTCTTAGCAGTACCTATGTTCATAAAACCATAAGGGACATTGTGCACCTGGACCCATTAATCAGCCTTATTTATGTTAACCTTGAGGGGAATATCCTTTGACCTAATTTCCTTGAGGATCAACAAATTCCTTTCAAACAACTATAAACCACTTTGTAACACACGTCTCATATCCACAATATGGTAAAAAGTGAAAAGATACCTCTCTTCGCCGATCTCTTTGGATTGAAACCCCTTTGCCAGGAAGCCATAGAGAGCCATAAGATCCTTGAAAATATGAAATTTTATCTTCTAATATGTAAGTAGGGTGCCTACCATCGGAAAAATAGCCTCTCGCTCATCCACCACATCCTCGCCGACCTCGTTATCATCGAAAACCAACTCCTGCTTGCTCGAACGAAACCAGCCACGGAAGTCCTTCGACTGCCTTCTTTTTGCCAGGAGCCGCACTTCGTCTAAGACAAAAGCGGAGAAGTCACAAACCCTAGATTAGGGAGACGGCCGCTACACACCCAAATACCTGCTCTTCAAAACTTTAAACACCTACATACTAGTCTTTTTGAAACAAATTAATATGTAGTATATTATTATTTTACATTTTCTGTGACTAGTTTGAAAAAGTTCATGAACATATACGTTCTGAAAGATATTTATTTTGTCAATATAAAAACTTTAGATTACATAAAACTAAAAATTACTAGTAATAAGCACAAATAACATATCACTATCATGTAACAATTTGCAAAATGCATACATAAAAAACATAATGGATCAATATAGCACAAAACATTAATTTTCTAGCACAATGAAAATCAAAGACTATCAATGATATTAGGATTAATGTTTGGGTTAACAAAAAAATCATATTTCAAATAGTTCAATTTTAAAGCCTATCAATTTAAAGAAAATCATATTCGGTTCGGTTTTAAAGGGACAAAAGAAAAACCAAAACAAACTACATTAAAGTTCAGTTTTTTACATTCGGTTTCGTTTTTTTTTGCGGTTCGATTCAGTTTGGTTGCAGTTCAATTTATTTTGATTCGGTTTTCTGTTTTCGGTTTTTCAGACTCAGCCCTGCATAATACTCCACATTATTTATATTTATAAAACTAAATATGTAAAATATGTAACATATATTTCAAACCAAAAATCATCTAGGTCTCAACGAAATTAATGTTTATCTCACCTACATATGAAATATTCAACCCATGTATTGTCTATTTGTCTCAATTACCAATTTGCCCTAAAAACTGATGTGTATGTGTAAACCAATTGATAATTCAAAAGAAAAACATATAGCTTTACACTAACATATGGGTGTATTGGTTTCTGTGTATTAATAGCTAATTAAACCACAATTTGAGTAAATATACATCAGGACTTCTTTGGTCTGGCATGCAGTCTGGCTCGCGTAGTAAAATGATACATTCTCAAGCTCGTTTAGCTTTCAAGGGAAGAAAAGTAGAGACTATTATTACCCTTCTACTCTACATTCATGCCTAACTCCTCTTACTCTGAGATTGCATCACAAAAGTTCTTTACAGAAAATACAACTCTAGAAAAAGATTAACAATCCCATTTATTTACAACTGTTCAAGACAACATGAACTGAAAGCCCATGAGCAGCCTTACAGATTTGAGTTTCTCTCCCTTTTTATCATGCAGAGGAACAGAACGGATTCCAGGCCGCAGTTCAGAGACAGGGAGACAAGTCTGGCCCCCAAAATCATCTTTCTCCGACATGTCATACTCTCGTACTTCAATCCTAAGCAATGCCATCTCTGGGACCATCAACGGGAACTCAAACTCTTCGCCCCAGTTGGGCGCCCACTCATCCTCTATGATTCTTGTCTTTCTCTTCCCACTATCCGCCCCCACTCCAACTATATATACCTGTCATCCCATGTTTGTTAGACAAGTATATATTCTGTTAGAATCCTTACATCGAGACTAAAGAAAGTCAATAAGACCTTGAGTTTAACTAGCTAACAAATTGGATTCAATTTTTTAGTGTCATTTTGACTCAAGTGTCTTAAGAGTTAAAACCTAGTTGAGTGACCCCAAGCCAATCTTGAACTATTATTATGCATGCCTTAGCTTGGATCAAAGGTTAATTATTTTTCTGCTGGGGACTGCACTATGTTCCCGTTTGGTAGCTTACTTTCTAGCTTATTATGATTATAGTTAGAATAAGTAGCTTTTCGCTTGCTTGTTTGGCAGGAATGGGTAAAACTGCTTTTACATTTAGAAAATTTAGCACATCAATTATTTCAGCTAAATAATCCCTTGTCAAATGGGTTCTAAACGAGATCAGAGAAAATGAGAAAGAGAGAGTTCTCCTCTAGACCTTATTACCTTCGTATAGAAGTCTGGCGGTGAGTAGGAATCAAAATGTGTATGACTAAAATCCAGCCTCCATCCATCCCCTAAATAAACATTCACCTGCACAACTAACAGCAACAACATATCATACAATGGCGATTTGTTAAAGCATAAAGCATCCTTTTATACCTACTTATTTTTCCTGGCATTGCCAGTTTTGTTAACCTACTTTTTTTTAACCTTTCTGCCAAATATTAACAGTGTGACTGCAGATAATGATTAAAATTGGGTGGAGGTCACTTTTCTGGATTAAGCCCTTGTTTTGTTAACCGTTCTGGCGTATCCTGCATATCAGATTATCAGCATAATAAACAATAAGGTAGAGTAGCTTTTTACTAAACTTACTGGCTGAAATGGACTCTACCAAACGGTTTTCCAATAAAGAAATTCAATAGATTCAGACATATAAGCCAATAAATCTCATCAAACGGACCCTATATGTCTGAAATGAAGGCAAATAAACACTTCTTAAATCATAATTAGATCTTATTCCAGTTGATTTATTTTATAAAAATATGTACAGTTCAACTATTATTAATCCCTACCAAACGGGCTCAAAAAATTCTTACCTTTAATGTCAACTTCACGGGTAATGTAACTTTTGGATCAAAAACCTCGCCGTTTGGATGTCTTTCCAAAAGAAACTGAGGCTTCTTCACATAGCCACAACATCCATTAGATCGAAACATCCCATGCATCAACCACAGTGACTTTCCATATCCCTGAAATCAAGATTTGCACCTTAACTTGTGACAATGGATGTACCAAACAGCTTGAAGTAAAAAGCATACATGGCAGTATTACATGCCCACAGTGACTAACCTGCATATTGAAGGCAACCATCTGAGCTCCATGGATCCACCCAAGCATCGGGTTAAAGTTTGATGATGTCACCCGCATACCTTTTGGATACACCCTCAAAATATTTTTTTGCGTGAAACTGTTATTAGGAGCTTATTAACAGAAAATAGAAAAATTAACCAATAATGAAGCATAAGATGGGCCCGACTGGAGTTCCTTATTACTATTATTATTTATTATTATTTATTATTATTTATTATTATTATATAACAGATAAATTTCAGGATTGGGCTAGGTCACTCGATTAGCTGATAAGACAATTGGGTCAAACAACAGTAAAAGATTAAATTCGCTCTATTAGCTAGTTCAACCCAAGGTCTTATTAACCCATCATCATTCTCTCTTTAATATATGGAAGATAGCTTCTGTGGATAATCAAGTAAGATTAGTTTATAGTCTACATAATAGGGATGGAGCCAATCAAGCAGGCATTAATGTGCATGGGTCAAACCACACTAAGATTTAATTCAATCAATTATCTAGTGTAATCCAATTAAGATACTGCTGCTTAACAGTTTGTAAGGGGCAAAGAGATTATTCCTAGTTCTTGCTCTTAAGTTTTAATAGTTTGTAAGTGATAAACAGATTCATCTTAAACTACCTGACAACATCAGTTCCATACAACCCCTTTTCAAGTTCTTGCTCATTCACGCTAAGGCGCTTCACTTTCTCTTGTAGAGTTGTCAATGCATGCTTCAAGCCTTCCTTTACCTTTCCCGCACGTATACCGATCAAATGCTTGTACTCAGGTGCTCCTGACCGAACCGGAGCATCAGAGCTTTTTCCATCTAGATCACTCTTCATCTATTATTCAAAACAAGATTAGAGTCTGTTTGTGATAAATTAGGGACTCAAGGCTGTCTTAATTTTTATGAGGCCTTGGGCATTTTGCTAATTAAAAAAAAGTTGGACCGTGTGAAGTAAAAGTTACTACGTATAAGCTATGCACAATGTTATGTAGATTGTAGAAATATCTTTCATTGTTTTAAATTCCAATATTCAACTTTTACCAAAATAAATCACTAAAATATTTTCTATATATAATTAAAATAGCTTGTGTATAGTATATATACTACTCCCTCCGTCCCGAAAAGGTTGGCCAAATTTCCTTTTTTGGATGTCCCAAAAAGATTTGCCATTTCCATTTAAAGTAAGAAATACTCCCTCCATTTCTGAAACAAGTTCCACCTTTCCTTTTCGGGGAGATTTAAAATTAAGTTCCACTTTAAAACATTTCCTTATTTGGCAAGTTATCTACATCAAAACAGTGTCAAACAGTGTTCAAACAGTGCCAAACAGTGTTCAAACAGTGCCAAACAGTGCACTCTACAGTAAAATCAAATTTATTTTCTTAATATGTGTGAAGTCAAATGTGGAACTTGTTTCAGAAACGGAGGGAGTATGTGGCTAAAATTAATTCTCTCTCCTCTGCACAAATTTCAACCACACAGTTTTTACATTATTAATCCACGTGAAAGTCAACTTTGGCCAACCTTTTCGGGACGGAGGGAGTATGTTATACTAATTAAAAAATTAGGCCTTCTGAATTGGAAGCACAAGTGTTTTAGCACGCCTAAAAGACACCCTGCTTATGGTATATAGGCTTTCATCATGAGAGTTCTCATTTAAGCACTTAAGTGTTTTTTTTTAAAACGTCAACCTGCTGCATTCTGCACTCATAACAGTGTTCCTTTACTGTTCAAGTGGTGTATTCTGTTTCCTACCGAAGGCTTCTTTTAAAGTCAAAGTACTGTCCTTCCTTTGAATCACTTACTTTTTTGAGAATAAGCCATCTCAAACACACCCAGAATGAGCACATATACATGTAAATTACCAAAACATGGAATGATGACTCAAATGGAACTTTACCACGCCATCTTGTTGTTCATCTGTATTTCCAGGCATCTCTTTTCTTGAAGGAATGGATTGGCATGTGGCGGCTTCGCAATGATTTTCATCTGGATCAGAACAGACCTGATAACCAAACAAACATGGGAGAATAAGCCCATTATGATGGTTAAAAAGGGGGGAAATCCTGGTCTTACTTTACCCCATCGGCTTCATTTCCTGACTCCTCTTTCATAGAGTAGTCATTTTCAGATGAATATTTCCATATTGGGGATACATTGTCTCTCTCATTATTGAGATGCCTTGACTCAAGGTACTCTTTGGGTGGTTTAGTAGAAAGAACAACACGGTGCTTTAACTCTTCGGGTGAAGGCAATTCTCCCAAGCATCCAGGCTCGGGGCAGTAAAGCATTTCCCCAAACACTTGAGTCAGCATCTACAAACATGAAAGCAAAAAACAAAACATGTTTATTGATGTTGCTAAATTAACCCTGAGCACCCCAAAAGAGGATTTTCAAGAGGTGAGGTTTGTTTTCACTTATATATTGAATATATACCCGGTAAACATTCAATGTCTGTCAGTTAACATTCAATGGGTGTCAAACAAACAAATAAACAAGCCCCAGAACATATATCATTATATCATACGTAGTATAAAATGAGGCCTTGCTCCCAAAAAAGATCCTCGAGGTGTGAGATTTAGCTCAAAATGATATATTATATGCACAAATAGTAAGCATCCAATGCAAGATATTTAACAGGTGTAAAAATACCACGCGCCAGAAATATACACACATAGCAATCACAATATAATAGATTAACTTCCAAACTTAACTGTAAAATAAATATATATGGACTCATAAAGCCTTGAGTGAATTATATCATATTATATAGAATTACAATTAAGGTCGGTAATAATATAATAACTCCTTTTAATTGTGTAGTTACAGAAGTCTAACCTCTGCTGCTTTAGCTTGAAGTTCAGGTGTCAAGTGATCTTCCAAAGTAATGATAACAGGATAAGGAGATTTCACAAAAGCATGTTTTTTGATAGATTTCAAACATTTGAGGAGAGTCACTGGAGTTGTTAAGGTCCTGAAAATCTCCAAAGCTGACAACATAAGAGCTCAATCAAGTTAATGATCTACTAGGCAACCAAAATTAGAATACAGATCAACCTCAACCATGCATAAATGTATATATCTCATAAAAAGACTTCAATAGAAAATTTCCACATACAAAGTAGTGGAGATTAATAATGAATGAAAAGAATAATAACACTCCATCTATCCCAAATTATTTATTGTTTTAGCCAATACTAAAATAATTGTTGTTATAGGAATTTAATGCATACTTTGTTCTAATCTCCCAAATAAATTTGTCCTTACTGACATTTTACATATTAAATGCTTTTATGCCTCAACAAGAAGTAAGATGCATTTCATTTTGAACTTTCATAGCAAAGAGAGGTCTTTTAATAATGTTCATTAATGTAGGCACTTTTCTAGAACGTTGATTAAATAGGGACAGAGGGAGTAAGAATTAGGCTTCTCATGGTAGAATACCTTCCGTGAAGAACGTGAATATTGTCTCTAGTGGAATTTGGCCACAAGTCCAATTCTATACCCCTAACGCCTCTTTCAAGAGCTCTAATAATAGGGATTTCACTACATTGACTGCTGAGTTGATTCCCAGTCAGGTAGGAGTTGTGACCCGTATATATGAAATAATGTTGCAATGGGGCACTCATATCATGCCATACCTGGATAGCAGATTACAACCAACTCGTTCAGAGTGAAAAACAATAATCGAGACCATAAAACCGGAGTCAATCCCAAACATATCTTGGTTACACAACTTGCAATTTCAGCACATCAAATGTGAAGTAAAACAAGTGGAATTGCATGAGATTAACTTAAAGCATCTAATCTAACATATCACGATATCATGACATATATCACTAATATTATATCTTTCAAATGTCATCATAGTAAATATGGGAAAATTCAGCTGATCTCATGTTCCCATCTAGATCATCTTACCTTTAGTTTCTGGCAAGGGCTTACTTAGCTCACTTGCTTTCACTAGATAATCACTCTAGTATTTATTACTTTGTATTATATTTTTCCTTATATAACATAAATTTTATTTCTGTTTTTGGAGAAACTTCATTTCCTAGATAACAAAAGGTACTAATGTTAATCAATCATGAAATGGGAACATTTTAACAACTTTTTTAGCCCTAGGATCTCACCATTCCTATTGACACTCTGACATCATAAAGAACACCTCAAATACTTGAACAATATTAATGCAGGTAGGCAGGTAGCATACACCTCAAATAGTAAACATTTTCAATGCAGATAGCATTCTTTACAAGGCTCTGTTATGTAGCCTTATCTATATTTTCTGTTTTTTAACATGGTTTTGACTTGCTTATATTTGGTTGAAATGGACGTTACCCAACAGTCAACACTTGAAAAATTCAGAACTTTCTGCCATTTAAGCTAGGTTTGTCTTACCAAACAGAACCTAAAAAAGTAAAACGGGAACCTGAGGTCTGAGAGGTCCATTGAGATCATCTTGAAAGAAAAAGTCAAAGAAATCGTCGATATCAAGAGAGCGGGCCGGGGAACTGTGGTGGATATGATTAGACAAATGGTGACGGCGGTTGTGGATATGTTGTATGAGTTGAGCCGCGTCAGCGGCGGTGCACCCCTCCTCCCCCTGATACTCGACCAGAAACCTGGTCATCTGATCGGCGTTCATGTGGGGACCATTTTCCGTGTACCGCGAAAATACATTCTTCACGTCCGGTGGAGGCTCCGTCTCGCTAATCTTGAATTTCCGGTTGAAGCAACCAAACATTTTGTAATAATTGTAGCTCCCCATTTCCAATAAACCATAAATTATGCTCCTTTCTTCCCCACAATATGTGATTGTGATGCTAATTACCAGAAATTATAGAATAATATGTGATTGTCTGGAGATGCACAGACAGACAGAAAAACGAAATACGTATATGGAGGTTGTGGTAGGGTGGATGAAGTCGAAAACACGGCATGGGATGATTCGTGACTCATCTGTCTGTTTTGGGCTGAATGCTTCCCGCTTCTTGTGAACAGCACGAATAAAAGAAAAACAATTGTATAAATCAATAATCTATATATATATATATATATATATATTAATTCATTTAAGTCTCTTTCCCACTCATTACTCGGGGACATTTGCTTAAATTCAGATACCTGGCTATTCTTCTGAAAAAGGCACGCCGATCTTTCTGAGCGAGGGAATTTAGAGCTATCTCACAAATCCTCCAACACAAAGACTTCTCCCTGAAGATGGAGTCTTCATCGCACGCAGCTCCCTTATCTTCCAAGAAAATCAGATTTATCCGACTTCAACTCCAGAGAGTCCATCAACACCAGACTTCTATATATGGGTAACTATTATCTCTCAAGTCTAACCTTATATATATATATATCACACCCTTCGAAAAAATTATCTCCATTTTCGCTCATACCTACTGACTCTCCAATGGCTCTGAATTCCCCCTTCAAAGTCCTTTTGAAGGATGTTACTACGCAACTGGACGACAAGGGTGTGTTGTTGGTGAGAGTCGTACATATGTGGATTGTTCCTGACAAGGGAAATTCCTCCGAATCCTACATGATTGACATGGTTCTCATGGATGAGGAGGTAAAATTCTTATTAATTACTCATTTTTAGTGTACTTTTACATTTGTTTTGGTGCTTTGTTCCGATTTCTGCTACTGCCACTGCCTGTTGTATTCCATTTTATATATTATGTTAAAAAAACCTATGTTGTAAGATTTCTTTGGATTGGTTAAACTGAGGCTGTTCAAAGGGCAACGCCCTTAAGGTGTTTGATAAAATGCAGCAATGAAGATTTTGATCAATTTTTAGATATTTATTTCCTTTTGAGTTTGTTGATTGAATCATTGAAATACTTTGATATTTATTCTTTCTGAAATATGGTTTAGGACTTGAAAGTTATGAATAAATAATGAGTGTTAGTAAGAGACATCTATCAACCCTTTTGTTTTTGCAAATATCATCTCTAAATATTAGATTATTTTTAATATATATGGAGCGTTGGAACATTATAAATGTGGAGTTGTTTATTTTATTTCATAGATGCTTTTAGCCACCCTTCACTTGATACTACATGGCAGCAGCCATCAGTTTGAAATTGCAAATATTTTAATGAAAGTTTGTTAAGTAATTTGATAATTTTTCACTTATAGCATTGTTGAGTATTTCATTTGGATGTCTTCTCTTATCAATATGATGAGTTTAGAATGCATTACATTGTTTCTTTTAAATTTGAAGTCTGATCTTTACGTCTATACTATTTCTGATTTTATATATCATGTCAAAAAACCCTATGTTGTAAGATTTCTTTGGATTGGTTAAACGGAGGCTGTTCAAAGGGCAACGCCCTTAAGGTGTTTGATAAAATGCAGCAATGAAGATTTTGATCAATTTTTAGATATTTATTTCCTTTTGAGTTTGTTGATTGAATCATTGAAATACTTTGATATTTATTCTTTCTGAAATATGGTTTAGGACTTGAAAGTTATGAATAAATAATGAGTGCTAGAAAGAGACATCTATCAAACCTTTTGTTTTTGCAAATATCATCTCTAAAAATTAGATTATTTTTAATATTTATGGAGCGTTGGAACGTATCAAATGTGGAGTTGTTTATTTTATTTCATAGATGCTTTTAGCCACCCTTCACTTGATACTACATGGCAGCAGCCATCAGTTTGAAATTGCAAATATTTTAATGAAAGTTTGTTAAATATTTTGATAATTTTTCACTTATAGCATTGTTGAGTATTTCATTTGGATGTTTTCTCTTATCAATATGATGAGTTTAGAATGCATTACATTGTTTCTTTTAAATTTGAATTCTGATCTTTACGTCTATACTATTTCTGATATTAGAATGCAGAAATGAAGTTTTTATTCTTTTTTAGCTATTTATTTCCTGTTGATTTTCTTGAATGAAATACTTTGATATTTATTCTTTCAGAAATATGGTTTAGGCCGTAAAACTTATGAATAAATAATGAGTGTTTCTAAGATCCAGAACATATATATGATGACTTCATCTCATCTTCTTTTTATGCAGGGAATTTTGCTTTGTTTTAAATTATTTATTGTTGTGATAATTTAGCTTACTCTTACCTTCATCCATTCTTCCAAACGTTATAAATAAATACACCTGTAATTAGATAGTGCATTGAAGTTGCTCAGTTCAGAAAACTATGTTCAACTGTTCAGGTCATGAAAGAGCAATTACAAAACATGATGTAATTTCTGGAGTGGTATTGATAAGATATGTTTACACACAATCTGAGTATTGTGAACAAATTTTCATTCTTATAGCAACGATAACTACTAAATAAGTTGGTTTTTACCTTGCACTGTTGATGATATATCCACCCATCTCCAAGTTCAATCTCCATCATTTTAACAACTACCAGAAACCGAAAAATACGTTAGAGCCTTTTGAAATGTTAGTCATAATATTCCGGAATGCTAGAATAAAGGTATCTGTGATCTTACATGAAAACACATACATGTTAGTTATAAACTTATTATAGCGCATGCTTTGTTTATTTTTTGAAATGGTTCTCATTTCATAGGAGGTACAACTCTTATTATTGTTCTTTATTATTGAGTGTATTTAAAGAAACTGAAATTTAAAACCAATTAGTTCTACCACCCGTACAAGAGATAATAATAGATGGATAAAAGAATTCTTTGCTTTAATATGATAGATTCATGATTATTATACAATATAGAAGGCAAATGGCCACTTCTGGTGGTACTTTTATTCAAAGCACTCGGAGAGCCAGAATATTTATATGACGACTTCATATCATCTTCTTTTTATGCAGGGAATTTTGCTTCTTTTTTAATTAGTTACTGTTGAGATAATTTTGCTTACCCTTACCTTCATCAATTCTTCCTTTCCAAAAAAGTTTGGAATTTATTTTCTTAACATCCGCTTGCTTAAATTTCTTGCAATGTGTTCTGGCTGGCCAAATGTCCTGATTAGAAGAAAATATATATAAATCAATGGGCAACAAAATTTAGTCTGTTGCATTTTATTTTCGATGTCCTTTCATGTATAATCCTCAAATTTGACTTCATACACTCATGCAAATTAAGATATAATTTCATGCACTAAATGAAAAAAAAATTGATGACTTCATCTCATCTTCTTTATATGCAGGGAATGCGCATACAAGCTACGATTGAAAATTCTCATGTTTCTAATTTCAAGGACAAAATCAAGGAGCATGGTCTTTATGGAATGATGCGTTTTGAAGTTAGGGCTAATAACGGTGATTACAGGCCTACTTCACATTCTTTCAGATTATATTTTAAGGAGAACACAAAGATCAAAGAGCGTGAACTTTCATCAGAGACAAAATTCCCAAAGGATTTGTATTCACTAAAAAGTTTCACCGAGATAAAAAAATAGTCATAGGAGAGCTGGAGATGACTTATTTGGTAATTAATAAGTCATAACATTGCATTTGACTTTAAAGAGTTTATCCTCACAGAACTAATTTGTTTCATTCGGTTTTTACAGATACATATAAAATTGATATGTAACATCTAACATTTAAATTCACATTCTATATTAGTACTCAGCTCACACTATTTAGATATTTTAAACTTAAAAAGATAACAATATTTAATGTTATCATTGAACTTCAGAATATTGATGATGCCACGACTACTACCCCAATGTCTAAGCGACCTTTTTCATATTATGAGGAAGGACAAGATGGAGGATCTTCTACTAAAAACTCCACTAGCAAACTGCAGAAAACTATCAAGGTTGAAAAACCATAAGGTTTTGGAGATGGTGTTTGAGGTGGCCAAAAAATGAAGAATTATCTTTACTCTTTAATTTCATGTCATTTTTTAGTGGACGAGTATTTACTGCATACATGTTAGTTTTTCAAGGGATGATTTTATTGCTTTACTTTGATTTACTTTGGTTTAAATTAGTTAATGTTGATCTATAGTTATTACATGTTAATCATGATTGTTCCAGAATGCTACAATAAAGGTAGTTGTGATCTTTTCATGATTATCCAGTGGTATATTACTGATTGATCTATAGTTATAACATCATGATCTATAGTTATTACATGTTAATCATAATGAACCATAATGCTAGCATAAAGGTGTCTGTGATCTTACACGAAATCCACGTGCACCAGTGATTGTATTTTTTATCTTTTCATTTTGGAAAAACCAAAATGGTTTATAAAATTGTTTGAGTATGTCTCATTGTGTTCAGGTCTTGATATATGGTAGAAAATGTAATTCTGTTATTAAACATGCATGCGTTTCAGTGATTGATCTAAAGTTATCACAATTTAATCATGATTGTTACAGAATGCTAGAATAAATGTATAGTATATGTGATCTTTTCATGACTATCCAGTGGTATATCAGTGATTACTCTATATTTATTACATGGTGATCTATATTTATTACATGTTAATCATAATTAACCAGAATGCTTGAATAAAGGTATTTGCTATTTTGGCACCACAGGCGATGAGGCGACTCTAGCCTTAAACAAATTGATGTTGATCACTATATCTCTTCGAGGTTCATGGAGTTTCTTAATAAAAACACTGTTATTATTTTTGTTGTATGTGTACCATCTTTACACCTCCTATGTATCAATGTATGTAATAGTATGTCTAGCTGGATGAACTAACAACTTGGTTTGTAGAGATTCCTTTTTGTTCTATGAGAGTATGAGGTAATTGCCATAATCCATTGATTTTTGCAATTAATGTTAATGTATTGGGGGGTACGGGTAGACATGGTTCTAGACTGAAATAAAACTCAACTTGTCATATATAAGATGTCTACTTCTAATTTGAACATTGTTGTTTGCCTGTCTCACTCTAAGTATTGGTCATCATATTGATAAGATCTTTAGCAATCACTAGATGACATTATTAAAGAGTCTTTATTGATAAGATGCTGAATATATTTGGATATATCTTAGCAATCACTAGATGACATTATTAAAGAGTCTTTATTGATAAGATGCTGAATATATTTGGATATATCTCAAACACAATGTATTCCAGATTGTGAAATATTAACATAATCTATTTTAGACTGCCAACGATGAAATCTAACAATTAACTCAATTTTATTTGTAAACTAAATTTAAAATGCCACAATTCCAAATAACGCTCAAAGATTTTATTGTTCAAATATTTAGGTGGTAGGTGTTTTTAGTTGAACTTATTCAGTCTCGGAATAAATTCGATCAAATTAAAATCTGACAATAGTTTTATGTACATATGTCAGTTATCTATCAGACCAATCCATATTACTTGAGACCATTGACGTGCACTTGTCGTTAGGTGCACTCAAAATAATTAATCAATACAACACTAATACGTAGTATAGTGTAGTAAGGTTCGTATCCACAGGGAAAGGAATACTTTTCTTTTATATAAATAATAACAAGGGGGGTTTAGATTTGTTTGGTTTAATAACACTAAGATAAACGACCTATATGAGTTTAATTCAATGAGATGGGGACTTGGTTTTGCTTTTATCCACTTAATGAAATGTTCGTCGATCCCGGTTATATCTTTAACTATCTTCCTCTCGAATACTCAATCGAGGAGTATATCCAGTTCATCGAGGGTAGTTATTAATAACGAGATGCGTTCATTAATAAAACTTACTATCGAGTCAATATAGAACAAGCGCCGTATATTAACTTGATAGTAGCAATAAACTTAAGATGAAAACGATTGAGATTGATAACCTCAACACAAGCGGTTTATTGGTTTAATCAATATAATTAATTCCCCTTGGCATATTAACCATGAGATGCATGCATTAATATTCCAAGTTTACTACCGTTGAAAGAACCGGATTAATAACAAGCGTATTAACCGATTGATTCTAGTAATAATTAATATGAGAAACAATACTAGTTGATACTTTTAAGTAATGTTTAAGATATTAAAATGAAATATGAATAGGAATTAATTAATACTCAAGGAAGAATATTAAAATATATGAATCCTACTATGATTAATATCAAGATGTTAACTAATTGTCATCTTAGTAACACTCCCCAATATTATCATAGAAGAAGAAATAGCTATTACCATAACCAATGTCAAGATGTTAACTAATTGTCATCTTAGTAACACTCCCCAACTTTGATATAGAGATAGTATTTTGAAAGAAAGAATTAATATTCAAGGAAGAAGATTAAAGAAAAATAACTCACAACTTACAAATTCATTAAGCTTCAAAGTAGCAAAACCAAGATGGAAGAGTTTAGCTCCTCATTTGGAGACTAAACATGATGAAAAATATAAAGAAAGAGCTATTCTATACTGAGCTTAGATGTACAAAGGGATTGGATATCTTTTTGTGAAGGAAAGGAGGTGCATTTATAGGTTTTTGGGATGGGATTCGGGTACTCGATCGGGTATATACATGGTACCCGATCGAGTATGTGTGTAACACCCGATCCGAGGCATACTCGACCGGTTTCAGGCTATTTTCTAAGTGTATACCCGATCGAGTATATATAAATACCCGGTCGAGTATGCTTAGAAAGTGGTATTCGGGCTATACTCGACCGATCTTCGTTTGCAATTTAAAGGCACACCCGATCGGGTATGTCGGTCTACCCGATCGGGTATAGACATAGAATCGTGGCCAAAATCTTCCCCGCATGTTCCTTTGTCTTCGGATCTGATCCGATTTGAAGTTCCAACCTAATACCCGATCGAGTATAGCTAATACTCGACCGAGTATAGACCAAAATTCAGGATCTTCTTTTGTCTTTGAACTTTTGCACCTTCTCTTCACTTTTTGGGTTCACCAACTGTACTTTGGGTGACCAAAACCTGCTTAAGCTCAGAATATATCTAATCTAACCTATTTACAAGAATTTAACAATCTAATCTATTACACCAAAAGTGTGTAATTTCCTCAACTAGAACTAATAAAAACTAGTTAAAAATACAAACATACAATCAGAAATTACATGAATATCAACTCCCCCACACTTAGCTTCTATACTCGTCCTCGAGTAAAGTCAAATGTTTAACAGTTTCAAGTCCTCAAAAGTTCAACAATCAACCAGAAAAAGCAAAAGACCACCAAGGATAATATATGGGTTTTACATTGAGTGTTTAGCTCAAAGAATAATATCTTCTTAGGTTTCATGGCCTTCTATGCTCATCTCCTCTTTTCATCTTCAAAAGATTAAATGAAGTCCTGTAAAAACAAATATATATCTCTCATATCTCTCATTTTGCCTAGGAGCCTTTGCAGGTTTTCATCCTAGCATCTCTTTTATTTATTTATTTATTTATTGTTTTTTTTTCCTCTCCACTCACTCATCATTTTTTTTGTAAGCCTTTTTTGCTTAGATTGCCCATTTGTTGGGTTTTCAACCTAACTAGCATTTCATTTTTTTTTGCGAAGAAAATAATGCTGGTTTACAAGGTATCAAATTTAAGTACGCACCGATGAGTGACTCCCCCTCACTTAGCTCGAAGCACTGTCCCTAGTGCTCGTCTCCATCATAACCGGGCTGACCGGTGCTCTAGATGAGATACTCTCGTCCCTTGTTCTTTGGTGGCATTTTCGCTTGATGCTTTGAATTTTGAGTTACAAATTTCGGACTTGGGGGAGGGCGTAAGGCATTATTCTTGGACTTGAGTCTTTTGGGGAAAAATGTGGTGTTGATGGATATGGGATGTAGAGGGAAATGTGGTGAAGATTTTGGTGGTGGTTTGGAGGGATTTGGTGGAGAATTCAGGGAGTAATTTGAGGTAGAAGAACCGGCTATGGATGTTTGGGGAGGGTTTGGTCGGATTTGGGGAAGGAATTTGGGAAGAAGAAGGGACTTTTCGAATTAAAATGCTGAGTAATCCCGCTTACCCGACCGGGTAAGTGTGTATACCCGATCGGGTATCTCCCTTTTCTTTGATTTTTTGAAGCGGGTACTCGGTCGAGTGTGGGAGTCAGTCCCCTTCAATTTTAGCATTTCTAGCAATACCCGACCGGGTGTATAGTGATACCCGATCGGGTATTGCTTATTTTTCAATTTTTTGAATGCTCCCTCGATCGAGTAGTGCCCGGTCCCTTTTCTTTTTGCTCATACCCGACCGAGTATAAGGAGATACTCGATCGGGTATGTCCACAGATGTTCCAAAACCTGCATTTTTTTTTTGAAATGTGTAAAAATAAAATAAAACAAGTAAACGTACCTTGCATGGGTTGCCTCCCAAGAAGCGCCTCATTTAACGTCGCGGCACGACGCTATCATTGTTTTCAATCATTCAAACTTGGATCATGATAGTTTATTTTCTTCTCACTTTCACTCCTAGGACTTCCATAGGAGTGCTTAATTTCTCGACTCTCCACTTTGGAAATCTTTCCAGGATCAAATATCCAGATTTTCATTGATTCGTGTGGTGGGAGGAATGGGAAGAAATTATCGTTTAGTATGATCAATAAAAAGTTTTTCGACTCCTCAATTTTGAAGAATATTTCAGAATTGTCATTGTTCATTTCAAGTTTATGAGTTTCCCTCAAGATTTTTAGAATTGATGGGGGTACCTCAAAAGATGACAAGGATAGATATTTAACCTTGAAGCTCAGATTATCCTCTTCTTTGACCAGTTGGAGCTCCGTGTCCTTTTCTTCCTCTACTTCTTCTGGATCCTGGATCTCTTTTTGCATTTCCTCTTCATTTTTCAATGTGATTGCAAAAGTTTGCTGTCTAGGATCACATTCTATTTGAGAGGAAAGTTTTCCCGAATCCCTTGCTTCAAGCCTACTCACGACTCCGGCTATTTGACCCACTTGAGATTCCAAGCTCAAAATGCTAGACTTGGTCTCATTTTGGAATTGCACCATGTTTTGTTGCATGGTGGTTACGCTGTT